GGCAGAATGGATCAAGAAAGAGAACCAGTGATATGCAGCATAAAAGAAATACGTTTAATTCAAAAAGAAATTCATAGATTAAAAATCAAAGGATGGAAAACATTTACCAAGTAGCAGGAATGTGGAAAAAAGCAGGATAAGTTATCCCAATTTCAGGCAAAGTGAATTTCAAGCTAAAACTGAACAAAACAGAAGAGACAAAGAGGGCCAGTACATATTGCTTAAAGGAAAAATGTAACAAGAAGAGATAACAGTTATAAATATTTTTGTACCAGACACCTGCACACCTAACTTCATGAAACAAACACTACTGAACATGAAAATTCAGATAATTATGAATAGAATTGTAATGGTGGACTTCAGTCCCCACTGCCAAATAGGCAAATCAGATAGCAAGGAATCAACAAAGAAAATCAAAGCTGAACCAAACCTTTGAACAAATGGACTTAGTAGATATCCACAGAGTACTCCACCCAACAGCAACAGAACACACATTTTTCTCAGCAGCACTTCATTTTTCTCAAAAGAGACCACATATTGCCCAATAAAGCATGATTAAGTATATGCAAAAGAATCGGAATTATCCTCTGTATATTACCAGACCATAGTATGATAAAACTAGAAATCAATGGCAAAAGAAACCACAAAAAATTTGCAAACACGAAAATTAAACAGTATGCTCTTGAAAAATCAGTGGGTCTGAGAATAAATTAAGGAAGAAATTAGACAATTCCTAGAATTAAATGATAATGCCAATGCAACATACCAGAACCGATGGGACACAATGGAAGCAGTCCAAAGAGAGAGGTTTATAGCTGGGAACGCCCACATCAGAAGCCTCAAGTAAGTAACCTTTCAGTACACCTCAAGGTCATAGAAAACAAGAACAATCTAAACCCAGAGACAGCATGAGGAATGAAATTATTAAGATTAGAGCAAAAGTGAGTGAATTTCAAACTAAAAAATACAAGGAATCAATGAATCAAACAGTTAATTCTTTAAAAGATTAAACAAAATAGGCAAACCCTGAGCCAATCTTATCAAAACAAGGAAAGATCCAAATCCACTCAATTAGAAGTGAAAAAAGGTAAAATCTCAACACATTCAGCCAAAATCCCAAAGACTGGGGTAACCTCTGTGAGAACCTACATGCAAATAAAATGGAAAATTCTGAGAAATGGATAGGAGCTCCAGTGGTGCAACTGATTAGTGTGTAGTACTTAGCCAAAAGCAATGGATAGAATCCTAGATACATGTGGAGTGCCAAAACTGAACTAAGAAGATATAAAAATCCTGAATGAACCAATATCAGTCAATGAAATTGAAGAAGTAATTTAAAAACTGAAAAATAAGAAAAGCCTAGGTCCTGGCAGAATGACTGCCGAATTCTACAACAATTTTAGAAAAGATTTTCTGCCAATATTCCTCAAACTCTTTAATGAAATTAAAAACAAAGCTGTACTCCCAAAGTCATTCCAGGAAGCAACATCTACCCTGATTCCAAAACTGAAAAGGACACAACCAAAAAAGAGAACTATAGGCCAATCTTGTAAATAAATATTGATGCAGAAATCCTCAGCAAGATATTGGCAAACAGAATACCAAAAAACTATGAAAATGATTATATCCCATGACCAAGTAGGCTTCAACACAGAGATGCAGGAAAAAGGATGCACTTAGATACCATAATGTTAAGTAAAATAAATCAGACACACAAGCTTAGGTATCACATCGTATCTCTTATATGAGAACCCCAATATATAAATAAAGTGCAAAGTAAAGAATAGACAGCAGGAAATAGTGACATGGATCTTTGCCATATGGGAAAGGAACTGAAAGATGGGGGAGAGATTAATAAAAGAGAAGGATTGTGAATTGCTGTGTATATCCACCACATCCCTATGAAAAATGTGATTCAAACATGGATTACATATATAAGGTTAATATATATTAATATATTAATATTACCAAGAAATACAGGGACAGAGAGAGGGAAAAAGGAGGGGAAAAAGGAGAGAGAGATGGAGGGAGGTGGGTGGAAACAGAAAAGGGAACCTAAAATGAATTAAGATGTATTATATCTCTGTACCAACTCTCTTGATAAATGTAATTATTATGTTCTGCAAACATTTGCTGATAAAATTTTGTAAAATGTGGAAAAAATTATTCTATGTTATATCAATAAAAAAACCCAAAGAGACCATTACCAAAAGTTTTTCCCCTGTAATAAGTGCTACACACTACTGTCTTTGTGGCTTCTTTTAACTTCTTATTAAGAGACACAATTTATTACGTCAAATAATTCATTTCTTCCCACAACAAATGTGGGTCATAAGAGTTCATAGAAAAAGAACAAAGTATGTACTCATAGAATCAGGCTTTACTACCTTTTTTAATAGGACCAATAAGAGGTTTTTTTTATTTTTACAGATGGTCTATGTGTGCTACTTATAAAGAGACTAGGCAAAATCACAGACACAACATTAACATTCAAAAGTATAAAGCTGTCTTTTTTGGTGTCAGGGGAAGTGGAAAGAAAAATCACAAGGCAGAGACTGTAAGTTCTGTCTCCCTAGGTTGGCCCTGACCAATAAATCTGCCGGAAAAGTGTGAGCTTTTATTGCCCTCATCTGGTCAGAGGATAAATACGTGCAAATAAATACATGGACCACCTGTGCCTTCCAGTCACCGGCTTGGGTGAGAGTAGAAACAGGATCTTTTTCCCAGATCCTTCCTATGAAATTGGAATGAGAGTTCCTTCTAACTAATAAAGGCAATATGCAAATGACCTGAGGGTTCTTGAATGAGACTGGCCATGTTATTAATGAATTAAGTGTGTGTGTCTGTGTGTGCCTATGTGGCTCCATGCATGGTGTGAAAGGGAAGGCAAAGGAAGGGCAGATTAGCAAAGCCACCTCTTATGATGAACACCCATCACTGTTGGTCACCTATGCTTGATCACATCAGCAGATGCAGGGGATGTTGTCAGTTGTATGAAAGTCTCCCAGGATGCCAAGCGATTAGTAGAGCTTGGGTAATCACCTTGGTCAGAGTACAGTTCTTAGAGGCTGGGTCAGACCTCTGTCAAGATGGTAGGCCTGGATCTGATGATGGTGTAATGCAATATTTTGTAGAGTTTTTGAGGAATAAAGACTATCTACTAAAATATACTCTAAGTTCAGAAAAAGTGTATGAATTCTGTACATGTTACACATTTATAAATAAAAATATAGCATCATTCCAAGTTATATACATATTGAGCTAAAAATATGTCTATATCTCTAGCTTATGTTAAACTAGTTTTATTTCCTTATTATAAAAATGACATATTCTAGAAAAGTTTAAAATAGTACATAATGCCATTATTTGAAAAATTAGAAAATATAAGACAGAAAGAACAGAAAAATCACCAATAA